AATAAGTCAATGCCAAAATTACAAAAAAAAATACTATAAACTTTGTAAAAATAAGAAAAAAACTATATTAAAATATTAATTTGACAAAACAAATATTGCATATATTATTTTTCCAATATAGATAAATAAAACTTAAGAAATGCATGTTTATAATTTATACAAAATGAAATTTATTATTTGAAATTAGTTTTAAATTTAATTTTTTACTTTTTGAATTAGTTTAAAATAAAACGCACTAATTTTCCTACCTATATATGGATTGTTTTAACAGCTGCAGCTGTGATTCATCGTTTCGCCGATGTGGCGTATTTTCATAACCATATAAGGATTGTTATAACGTTCGTGATTGGCACACCTGCATTAATGTGCCCAAGCTGATTCGTCGTGTAATAGTTCGGGCGTTTTCGTGTAATAGTTCGTAAGTTTGATTACTTTGTTATCTATTGTGCAGGTGTGCAATACGCACTATTTTCATGCACACACATAAGAATTTGTTTAAACGTGCGATTATTACATTGAAATTTATTTTAAGTTTATTCAAATTCATCATTTATTATTTATCAGTATTTCAATATATTTTCCATAAATCCATTACAAAATGAGTGTAAAGATGAACATAATAAATTTATGGCTTATTGTATTACGTTATTTCCCATACTTTTCAATTCCAATTAAAGCATTTTACATTACAAAATATTATTATTCTCTTTAATTTCAATTGAAATCAATTAACATTTCGCAAATAATGGAAAAGTGAAATTATTTCTATAAACACAAAAACAAAATTAAATATTGTTCTTTAGTTTCAATTGAAATCAGTAAAAAATTATAATTTTGAAAATTGATGTTAACTAAAAATGTATAAGGAAAAAAATACAAATCTTCGTCTTCACAAATATTTATATTAAATGTTAATAAGTATCATAATTTAATTGATAAATATAACAATTTTAAATCTAAAATTTTTATGAAATTAAATTGTTTCTTTTGTTTAATTTTTGTTTTAGTTATTATTAACAATTATAATGATGAATCGATTAAACGATCTTTACTAATTACTATATGAATGAGAAAAATATACTAAATTTGTTGTTTTCATCAAATATTTTAGATATTCTGAGAATCTGGATAAATATTTATTTTTTTGTATAAAATTGATGTTGAATTAGTGTTGGATATTTTGTTATAATTAATGTAGTTGGATAGGAAACAGTGCACTTAATCGATGCGTCTATAAATCTGTAAATAAAGATGATTGATCGCGTGCGCATCCACCAATTACATCAGCAATTTGAACCCGTCAAAGTTCGATTTCGCCGCAGCAAACATATTTGATGGAATTGCCAATGCGAAACTAATAAACAGGCAACAATAACATTCGAATGAAAAAGTGCGTTGGTGAAGGATGAGAGTATATTAGTATTGAATGGATTGGGAGAGAGAGTTGGCGTCGGCAGCAACGTATGCTTTTGACGTGCGCTCCTAATTGCATCCGACGACTTAATTAATAAATGCCAATGCAAGGCAAGCAAAGCAGTTTTATCCAATTGCAATTTAGTTCTTAAGCCCCCCGCGCTGCCTCCGCCACCCACTGCCGCCAACCGTCTCCTCCTACTCCTACACCACTGCCACCTCCCTGAGGTTCGAGCAAATATTGGGTTTGTTAAATTGGTGCTCGTGCATCGGAATTGTTTCCTCCTGTTGACACACGGACGCAAACGCACATCGATCAACAATTTTTAATTAAACCGACAATTATTTTATACTCTTCATCGATTCTTATTATTGTTACGACAAAGAAAAGAAATAAAATGAGCATTCAACCGTTTCCGAACCGGGGGATTCCCCTAGTAAATCTGCTTAAAGCCCACTCGACATTACTGCAATTACACGGAACATTCCGCTTCAATTCAATTACACATTTTAACATATTCCATCCGAACGAATCCGCAAATGGAGATTTAATTTTTGTTGACACGTCCATCCTACAACCCTCTCCTCCTGCTTCAAATCAAATGAAAAAGAGAAGCGAAGGAAACAAACGTAATTTTAGATTTAAGCTTCGGACATTCGTTTTTTTTTTGTTTTTTTTTATACTCGTCGAGGATGGTGGATGGGATTTAATCCACTTTCTCCTTTGCGGACGGATGTTTCTTTGTTCGCCATAAGACAATATCCCTAAAACGCCGTGGGATGTTTCATCAATAAATAAAACTGTTGTTCTTCCTTTTTTTCCCTTTATTTTCATGAATTCGAATATAAAAAGAAAAAAAGGAAGAACGGAACAAAAGCAAAGTAACGGTTGTCTTCGCTGCACTCTCCGATCATGTGGAAATAATTCCGCGAACAAAGGAAATCCATTTTCATTTGCATAAATGTAAAATAATTCTCGTATTCTTTCCGTGAACCTTATTGTGCTATTCCCATTCCGACTGGAGCACTTTTCTCGGAAAACTTACAATCAAACTTCTCCATTTGCATAACAATTTTTTTTTGTTATTATTAAATAACTTGCATGCATTTTGGCAAATTGAATTACGTAATTGATAACGTACATTGATTTTTACTTTCAATAATTTATAATCACTTCACTGTATTTTGTGCATAAATTTTATCAATAACATATTTCGCCTGTCAAAGCTACTGTCAAAATAAATTTAGTTAAATTGCACTTGTCAATCCAACTGTCAAATATTGAATTGCAGCTGTCAATACTACTATCAACTGAAGTTAGTTATGTGACATATTTAATTGCACTTGTCAATCCAACTGTCAAATATTGAATTGCAGCTGTCAATACTACTATCAACTGAAGTTAGTTATGTGACATATTTGAATTGCACTGTCAATCCTACTGTCAAATATTGAATTGCAGCTGTCAATACTACTATCAACTGAAGTTAGTTATGTGACATATTGAATTGCACTTGTCAATCCTACTGTCAAATATTGAATTGCAGCTGTCAATACTACTATCAACTGAAGTTAGTTATGTACATATTGGAATTGCACTTGTCAATCCTACTGTCAAATGAAGGTTGCTATGTAACATATTGAATTGCATTGACAGGTGCAAATTCTACTGTCAAATGAAGGTTGTTATGTGACATATTGAACTTGCACTTGTCAATCCTACTGTCAAATATTGAATTGCAGCTTGTCAATGACTACTATCAATAAAGTTAGTTATGTGACATATGGAATTGCACTTGTCAATCCTACTGTCAAATGAAGGTTGCTATGTAACATATTGAACTTGTAGTTGTCAAACTTAGAAAATCATTTGTTTCCGTTAAACGTGTACACGAAACAAGTGACTCTCACAAAAAGTTAAATGTTTTGCTGTTTCTTAGCTTAATTTACTTTTCAACTTTCGGATGCTGCTGCAAATTGCGCTTGGCAGTCCATCAACTGCGAGTTTATTTCTGATCTCTTTATAACGTGCGAAGGCGATATTAACTTCTTCAAAGGTGAAATATGAGATGTTTCCGCGGCGGCGATTAATCATCATCCGAGTCGTCGCCGCCGCCACCACAGCCGCCTTCGCCTCCACCTCCACTCTTCAGCCCCCGGCCTGCTGCTACGTCCAATTTTCCATCAAAAGTCCGGGAAAGTCGTAAAAACGTGCTGGTTTCTCCAAGTTTACAGCGGCTTTAATCTCAATTAGATCCAATTTCCAGTTTAAAATACACCGCAACAAACAAAAAAAAAAGAAACCTTCAATTGTTCTTAATTTTATGACTACAGTAAATTCATATCAATTTATTTAGTATTAAGTAAATTTGATAGAATTAAAGTAGGATTTAAAGTATTTAATCCAAATAATACCAAACCTTTCAAGAGATATACTTATTTCTGTTACATATAAAACCACTCTTTTCTGTTTATTATCAACAACAAAATTTAATAGAAATATAAAGAGGATATGAAAACTGAGATTATTGAAATTCTAAACGCAAACAGTGTGGGTTTACGCAACGTCTCGAGTGCTCGACCGTATTTTCCTTATGGTTTTGCGGGAAAGCAGAGAGAGTGAGAGATGGAGCTTTATTATCGTCGCATTATGAATTCCCGGAAAGTTTCGGCCTATTTTCCGCACAGCAAAAACCAACCCGAAAACTCGACTTTACGCATGACCTTAGTTAGATACGTGGAAAGTATTAAGTTTCCACCACCTTCGAAATTAATTTCATCCTCCGTTGAATATTCATGAGCCGGAAACAATGGCCACCGTCGCATAAACCGCGAATTATTTCAATACGAAAATTCACTTTCGAAACATACATTTCCTTTCTTAAATAATTTTAAGTGTTTAATACTTGATACATAAATGATATATTGTTTATCTACTTAGGTTACTTTAATAATCATAAGATGATTTATATAAAATCGATGCTTTCTCTTTTCTTATCTCTAAAACCAATATTGTACTTGTCAATGCAACTGTCAAATGAAATTAGTTATGTCAATCCTACTGTCAAATGAAGGTTGCTATGTCATATATTGAATTGCATTGACAGGTGCAAATTCTACTGTCAAATGAAGGTTGTTATGTGACATATTGAACTTGCACTTGTCAATCCTACTGTCAAATATTGAATTGCAGCTGTCAATACTACTATCAACTAAAGTTAGTTATGTGACATATGGAATTGCACTTGTCAATCCTACTGTCAAATGAAGGTTGCTATGTCATATATTGAATTGCATTGACAGGTGCTAATTCTACTGTCAAGTGAAGGTTGTTTTCTTACCTCTAAAACCAATATTCTAGTTGTTTCCAAATCTATTATATATAAATTACGACGAAAACTTCTCCTTGATGTTGCATATCATTTCTTTATACTTCTACCATAATAATTCTTGAAAATTTTAAATTTTGGTAGTGTTTCATGTATTCATCTCCTAAAGCTTTTAAACTATTAAAAATTGGGTTTTTGATTGAATAAAAAGCATTTTTTTTTAGAAACTGTATTATAAAAATAGGTATAAATGTGTGATATAGTTTGGATTTCGTTGTGAAGATTGTGGAATATTCGGATTAACGCGCATTGAATTGATAATTCCTCAAATTTGATAAATTACGCAATATTATGTGTCAATTATGGGACAAAAGAGAATGATCAATTTTGATTAATTGCAAACGCTCAAAGATAGAGATGAGGATCGGACGGATCGATTTTGTTACCCGTTGCAGCCGACCAATTAATACATTTATATTAATTGCCGCGCGCACACACACACACACACACTATGTTGTCCACCCTTAATGACAATGAATTGGATTACGAGCTTCCGCATCGCTTCGCCCAGGACGTGTACTTGTCGATCACGTCGTTCGTGGCCGCCGGTCTGATCCTTCCCAGAGCCCTTCTCACGTCCTCCATGACGACAGGCCTAACCACCGCATCTTGACAACATCCTCCTTCGTGAAAACAACAAGCAAGAATTTAATTAATTTGATGAGAATATTACCATTATCATCAACATCATCGACATCATCATTAGTCGTCTCTTTGATCTCTCTCACCGAGCTTCTCTCGCAGCGTCCCCATCAACGCCTCTTTGCAAACAATGCGAATTTCCGCGCACGAAAAGTTTCCAGTTAGTTCGGCCATCCTCTTGTAGTCTGCATCGCTGAATTTGTTCCTGTTCCGACCGAAGTAATACCGGAACAGTTCGAGGCGCGCCTCAGCGTCCGGAACGTTCAGCAGGATCCTCTTCTCGAAACGCCGCAGGATCGCAGCACCCAAGTTCCTTCAAACACGAAAATTCCTTACAGAAACTAAACGAAATTTTGATCACAAAAGTTGTATCCTCACTATGCATGATTACTAATAGTGTAGACGCACTGATAATCAAATCGTTCAATACGAACTAATCGAAATATCTGATGAATACAATGGGTTTATTACCAAGGGAGATTTGTTGTTGCGAGGACGAAGATGTTGGGATCGTCATCTCCGGACGCGCTCAGGATTCCGTCCAGCTGGATGAGAAGTTCGCTGGTGAAGCGTCTGGAGGCCTCGTGCTGATGATCCTCGTGCCTCGATGCGATCGCATCCAGCTCGTCTATGAATATCGTGCTCGGTGCATACAGTCTGCAACGCAAAAGTTTCTCTCCATCCATTATTAACCGAACTTTCCTAATTAAACACCGTCGCTCTCTCCCATTTCGAACATTTAATCTCAATAACTCCCGAAACTTAATGCATTAATTCCTTTGACCTCCCCACAGTCTCCGTCCGAAAAGGTTAAATCCGAACTTCTCCTTTTCGTTAATTTCTCTCTCCACATCTTATATTTGTGATACCTCTCCATGTCTTCATGTTTGCATAACAAACTTTTAATAAACTCTACCAGCCAGCAAGGAAACCGCATTTTCTAATACTTAATTATACATTTAATAACGCAACGTTTATGTATGAAGCTTACATAGTAAATTCTTCATTTTTGTAAACTTTCAGGAAGGAAACCGTATTTTCTAATACTTAATTATACATTTAATAACCCAAAGTTTATGTATGTAGAGCTTACATAGTAAATTCTTCATTTTTGTAAACTTTAATTTAGTTTGTTATTCAACATTAATTTGATGAAACAGATATATAATTAAATTGAAACATTATATATTAATATGAACTCGTGTAATAATGTAATCTATTTAGAATTTACATTTATAAATTACACAAAATATAAACGTGTAAATAATTATTCATTTTCAAACAAAACTAATTCAATTTAAACAAACAAATTGTACCTTTCAACCAATATGCCTTTCGACATATTTCTTTTAATTCGTTTTTATAAAACCAATTTTTATTCACATACTCAAATTGATGAATGAAATAATTAGAAAATGTTTTTCCAATTACTATTATTTTAATTAACTTTTATATGAAAATTTTGAGTTTGAAATTGTTTAATTCATTAATATATATATAAAATTATTTTCTTATTTCTTCACACATTTCTTAACATACTACATTTACTAACTTTTTGCCTTTGTAATTGTTTCAGTAAAAATATGAAAATGATTTTTTTGCTTTAAATTGTTCAAATTAATAAACAAACATTATTTTTCAATTTCTTCTCACTTTTGCTAATAGAAAACAATTATCTATTTCTGTATGTTCATATAATTGATATTCAAATTTAATTTCTTACTAACAATTTCTTCTCCTAACTTTAATACAAATTCAACTAAAAGATTCATATAAAAATCTTTACTTTGAATTTTTTAATAATTTATTCAGTCTTTACTTCATTAATTATTTTAGTTTATAAGCAGTGCAAATATTAACACAATTTTTTGTAATTTACATTTAGAACTGCAGGAATCAGTAGATAAGTCGAAAATATGACAAATGTTAACAGAAAATTGCAGCGGAAATGATTAGAATCGAGCGCTGTTGACGTGGCAGTGGGAAAATTTGCATTTTCACGCATTTCTCTAAATTACATCACCGCTATTTGTATTGGTTTTATCGTAATTGGCAATTAGCGGTTAATGAAGGTCGGACACACCGCGCCCAGCGAAACCTTAGGGAAATTAAATGCAATTTTCGCGCCGCCAATGTTCACACAGTATAGCGTTTCGAATGGACGTGTTTGCATTCCTTCTACACTCTCTCTTACACAACTTTACGTGCATCCAGGTATTATTTACAAAAAACAATGTATATTTACCTTGCGACGTCGAAAAGGACCTTCAGCATTTTCTCGGACTCGCCGCGCCACTTGCTCACGAACGTGCTGATCGCCAAGTTGATGAAGGTCGACGGGGATTCCCCTGCGAGCGCCTTCGCCAGTCGCGTCTTCCCCGTCCCCGGCGGCCCAAAGAGCAACACACCTGCAACTCATTAACAGGTTTTCTTTTAGCACAGCCTCCTAAATTCATGCAAAAAAAAAACAAACGAGAGAGAATAAATAAAGCAAAAAAAAAACCCAACCCCTACATTTTTCATCCCTCTTTGTGCGCGTTTTCATTTATTCATTTATTCATTTTGTTTTTTTTTGTATTATATAAAAACAAACAATAGACAAAAACGGCGCTTTTCGACGCGTTTAAAAACCAGAGCCTCCTATTATTCAATTAACTATTTTTGCAGCATTCATCTCTGCTTTTGCGCGTGCAATTCCATCCGAATTTATAGTCGAAACCGGAGACAATAGAAACTAGGGTGTTTTTTGGTGGATGCGCCGAGTTTCTCGCTCATATTTCAAATAATAAAAATGTTTACAACGTTCGTACATCGTAAACTGCGAATGAAACGCAGTCCAATTCCATTTGTTTAAAGTGCATCCATCAATATTTATAATTATTACTACAATATTTTTTTGTTCATTTGCAATACGTTTTAAACCTTGAACAACGTGAAACAATGCCCGTCCATCAATTAACTTCCGTCGCGAAATAATATACGAAACTAATCCGACAAAGTCAATTATCCGAAAGTACACGTGGACAAAACTTTAACCTGGTTTCCAAACAAATGCAAACAACTCGAAATTGAGTTTGCGAAAACTTTACTGACTGCTACATGGAAAACTCTTAACCGTACAAAGAAAACAAAACTATTTGAACATATAATAAATAATTTTCAATTCTTATAAAACTTCAAAAATCAATTATTTTCTTCAATTCTGTTTAGATGCAATAAATAATTACAAAAATCTACTTTACTCTTATCAAATTCAGTAATAAAAACTGTAAACAAATTATAAAACGAGCAAACAAAAATCTTGAGTCGACGGATTGAGAGAGGCTATTTTTATTGGCGAACTTTGTAGACAGCGCATTTGGTTTTTACGACTGTCTTTTAACGAATTCCATTTAAAATTTATTTCTTTATTATTACCCCTCGATTCATCTGCTCTTATACAGAGAACGAAACGAAAGGGAAAAAAAACTTAGAAATTTTCTATTTACAACGATAAATAAAAAGTAAAATTTCCTTCAGGATTTTTTTGTTATACAAATAACAACAAGACACGTGAAGAGGTATTTGTTGGGAATCTCTAACAACCGAATAACTCTGCGCGCAATCCTTCAACTATTGTGTAACCCGTGGCCTGTCCTAATCCGAAGATTCCGAAGAGTTTTCTGAAGATCCAAAGGTTGTGAATACGATATGAAAAAGATCAACTGTAGTGGAAAAAAATATCCTCTTGTAAAAATTTGCCAACTTAAAACTGCTGTAACTTTTGAACCGTTTGCAATGTTGAGTCCATATTTCGCCTAATATAGTTATGACAAAATAAACATTAAATAACGATAAAAAAATTAATTTTATGAGAAATATTACCAATTAAAATGTAAAAAAAATTAATTTTGCATACAGAATTTTGTGATGCAAATTGAATTTCCATCAGAACCGAAAACTTGCAATAAACTTTTGATTTTTATTTCGAAGCTACTATTCCTTGCACAAATAAAATGTTCATAAAAAATCCTTCAGACAATACAAAGAAAAGTTTATTATCATAGAAAATATATGAATTTCTTGATAAAAAAATATATATAAAATTGTTTCAAATATTTGTATGCATTTTCATAAATATATTTATTCGGAATACATTACGAAACGGAAAGGTAATGCAAATATCCTTAGAATTCTTACGGTTTCGCTTGAATAAAATTCGGGAAAACAGAACGTAAACAATGAGCTTTTGCATTCGGGATAAGATTGCGAGAGAGAAGGAAAAATAAAATATAAAAAGGTGTCGCTGTGTGTGTGCAGGGAATCGGGTCGGTTGGGATAAAGTAAATAAAATCCCGAAATTGCGTTTCGTCGAGTCTTGGATAAAACGTTTCAACGCGTCCAAACTAATTCCATTTTTATACCAATAAATAAAACCAGGACTAATCCGCGTGATTAAATAATCGTTTTCTTTTGTTGAAAGCGCACTTCAACAATAAATGCATCCATTATACTTCCAACAAAAAAGAAAACTTAAACATCTTCAACAGTTATTAATTTCGTTTCAAACATTCTTTATAGACGCAGTTTTTATCGTCCTATTAACAAGATATAACACTTAAACTATAATTCAATTACTGTTTCATACCTGCAGTTTCCAATCATTATAACAATCACTTTTACTATTTCCTAAATTCCTAATTTAATTACTGTCTTATTTATTTGTCTTCTAATTAAATTAAATATTAAAATTTTCATAGAAAATGTAATTTAATTCATAAAAGACAGAAATAGTTGGTCCATAACAAAAAAATTGAGTGTTTTCTTTTGTAATTTGTAAAGAAGATGGAACATTTTATGTTAATATTTCAAATGTTCTTAGTTTTGTTTTTTTTTTTAAGTGATACAGATATAGTTGAGCCAGGATTATCAGTATTTAAAATAAACTTTAGAATTGGGTCTATCCTTTTGTATAATGCACAGAAGATGGAAATACTGTTCTCAAGTTTCAGTTAACTACAGACATTTGGATAATTGAATTTCGCAGACAAATTGTTTTCAATCAAAATGCTAATTTACTCGCTTTCCTCCTTCTCTCAAAGTGATTTAAAACTGCTCACTTATTACCAATTCATTTACAGTTTCAATTACTGTCCTAATATATTTTATATATTACTTAATTTATGAATTGTGTTAAATAATTGATTATTTGTAAAGTTAAAAGTAAATTTAATTTATAGGAAATAAGATTGCAATTGGATTAGTTTTGCAAATATTTGTTTTGCGCGAAACCCTTTCAGCTTTTATCCGATGTAAGGAAAGCGTTTGTTAAAAATGTGTGCGCGAGGAGGAGTGAGAATCGATACGCGTTTGAAATCGAAACGGGAAATTCTATCCTGACCTTTCCACGGTGCTAAGAGTCCGGTGAAGAGTTCGGGACGTTCCAAAGGATAGACGACGGCCTCCTTCAAGGACTCGGAGGCTGCGGAGAGACCGATGCAGTCCTTCCAGAAGATCCCCGCACTCCTCGGCACGATTTCCGATGTAATTAGATCGGCCATTTCGCGCCATTCGCTCGTGTACCCTTGGAATTCGCTGAGGGACGGTCTGAGTGCCTCCTGATCCTCGGACGCAGATGGTTTCAACAAGGGCTGCTGCTGCTGATGCTGATGCTTCTGTTGCTGGTCGACGCCCGTGGGTTTTCCGCTCAAACACTTCACGTCTATCTGGAAGGAGTCTCCACTCTCGGGGATCTTATTATCCGGAACGCAGCTGAAACCGAAAACATGCTAATCTAAACACTTATGCATGGTCCTTCGGAGAGTTATCCAACGCTGAGAGAGTAGTTTACGTTCGCAGAGGAATAGGAGATGCGTTTATAGCTAATAACTGTTGTTTGCTGTGAGAGGATCTCGTCCCAACAGTTCTCGGAATTAAGTGTAAATTGCAGTAGTAAACTTAAAGTTTTAGTGTTGTGCAATGTTTATTACAGAGTTGAAATAACTCAAGAGAAAAACGCTGAAATTGAACATTTTTAATAAAAATAGAAAGAAAAAAATAATAATTAAAAAGTGCTCTGAGATATTCATTATAAAATAGTAAATAGAAGTATACGAATTCACATAACTTCAATATTTTGTTATGTGAATTACAGAAGTAAATTTAACGTTTTAGTACTATTATGAGAAAAACGTGTAACTTTATGAATATATAACAGTGTATGAGCGAAAACGTGCAAATAATTACAATTATTAAAGTAAATTTGAAATTTTTTATCAAATTACTAAACGATATACGATATTATTTTTACTGAAAAATGTCGAATAGCAGAGACGAAGATGGATTACTTTGTTAACTATTGGAAACGCAGCTGCAAGATCATGTAAAATAGTTTAAAGAAATTGATTTTGAGAGAATATAGAAAAAAAATGAAATTATGAAGAAAATATTTAAAGAAAATTAAATTACTAGTAAAGAAGTAAACATTAATTAAAAAAATGTATATAATAGATTATTAACTCTTTAAATAAACAACAAATATTGAACACAAATACCTCGTATAGTCCAATTGTTTGAAACCGGATTAATGAAAGAACAAAATACATATAAAAATATAAACCCGCGTAAAAAGAAACTTGATTATATAATGGGAATAAAACAGAAGAATTATATAAAAAAAATGTATTTAGTTTAATTGGAAATTTTGAAACCGGACTGTATTGAATCCGGACTGATCGAAACCGCAATAGACGTGGTATTGCTGCAATTTCGGTTTTTATACTTTAGATCTTTTAGAATATTGAAATTATTTACCAATTATTAAATTTGAAGCTAAACATTTTTTCTTTCTATAGATAATTAAAAATTGTAAAATAAACTTTAGTATATCAAAGGATGGAACAAAATGTTCGTAATTTGAAGATATTATTGCTTTTCTCTGTAATAGTATTGAAGCATTGTTGCATAATTCTCCGAAAACTTTTTGATTGATAATTGCTGTTGCATTGAGATCGTGTGCACGGTTCATTGTAGTTGGATAATTAATATCGAGACAGTGTAATTATATACTTAGTAACAGCTGGTTTCGAAGTCTTCCTCTTAAGCGGCAGAGAGCCTCCAGTTTCGGAGAGGGCGGTCGACGACGATGACACCCTCTTGACGATCCTAGGCATCTTATTGAATTTGGTTAGGTAGTAGTCCTGGTAATCCTGCAGCACGATATCCAGATCGATATTATCGCAGAGCTCGTATTGGTTAATGAGCTGGCCTTCTCGGGACAATATATCGGCGGATTCGTGCAGGTTACAGTCTCTTAGATAACCGCGGATTAAATACAGAAGGCTTCTCCTGCGCTCCTTCGCCTCGTTTCTCTCCTATAATGAACCGCACAACTCCCTTTATATTGGATCATTCCACCTTCCTGATCTTTCTCACTCTCTCTCTATCATACACAAACATTTCCTTCATCATTTAATAATGATATTTCCTCTGGCATTGTATATTGTGTGTGCTTGTATACACATATACACTTTTGATTGCGTTCGTGAAATTCTACTACTTACATATTCCCTGTGTGTTTTCGTCGCTCTGGACCCACAATTTCCGCTCGACCTGCCCGGAACCGTGCAATACTCGGACATACCTTTCTCTTTCTCGTTCACCCACTTGCTCTTCTCTCCAACCAAAACTATGACATAACACAACGTACACCCGCACACTCTGACAATGCTAGGTTAGAACCAAGGGTCACGGCTGCCTGCATCCGCCCAATACAGTAAATAATTGCCCGTTACCCTAGCAACGCCAAACAATTAAAAATTACACAACGAATCGATACCACTTGATGGACTTCACAGAAAAGCACAAACATCCAAAATTAAGCATCACAATAAAAAATTCCAAAAGTTTTCAGTGAAAAAATAAATTTAATAGAAAATTTTCCTTCTCGCCAATTTAACTTTTTTTCTCTCAAATTCATAGAAAAAATAATTAAAAATTTTCTGGAAACAAAAGAATGTGAAAAAAAAACAACAAAAATTCTTTTTCAAACGTATTTCATAATCTCTGAAGAGTTGACTTATAAAATGGAAATATTTAAAAAATAATGTTTGTAAAATGCTAATATCTTCTACAAATTGATCTTGTAGAGTGCTTTTTCTTAAACTTTCAAAGTTTTTTTTTGCGTTTTGTTGTGTCGTAAAACGATTCGTCCGAAAGTTTTATATAATCTCATTCAATATTTTTTTTTTCATCTCTCTTTGCGAATCAATAGAGCCATCACGCTGTATGAATATGCAAATTGAAGCTGTTGGACTTAATACGATAATATTGGCGTCGTGCCCGTGTTCGAACCCAAAGTCCCCAATGCACGTCCAACATTATTATTACTATCATTTGATTTCGATATAATTTATATATATTATGAACGTACGTTCTATATTCTCATTACAAACACTAATATCTAGTTGCATATGTATCTTCTTTAATCATCATACCATTGTCACAATTGCAATGTTTCCATGGTTACTAATAATATCTAATAACTGCGAGTTAATGAAATTGCATAATCAATTTCATTAGCACAAATCCTCTTGAACGTTCAACCCGTTCTCATAATTGTCAATTATACGTCTCCATGGTTACTACTTAGATATTATCTAATATCCTCTATTGAAATTATGTATATTTCGGAGTTACAATTCTGTAATTTTTAGAACGTCAAAATTTCTATGTTTTCATAACCACACTATTGTAATTGTCAATGCGTTTCCATGGTTACTAATAATATCTAATAGATATAAGCTAATGAAATTGCTTAATCAATGATGATTCTGTCAAATAATCAATTCGTTCTCATAATTGTCAATTATACGTTTCTATGGTTACTACTAACATTTAATCTAATATCCTGTATTGAAATTATGTATATTTCGGAGTTACAATTCTGTAATTTTTAGAACGTCAAAGTTTGATGTTTTCATAACCACACTATTGTAATTGTCAATACGTTTCCATGGTTACTAATAATATCTAATAGATATAAGCTAATGAAATTGCTTAATCAATGATGATTTTGTCGAATAATCAATTCGTTCTCATAATTATCAATTATACGTCTCTATGGTTACTACTAATAACTAATCTAATATCCTCTATTGAAATTATGTATATTTCAGATTTACAATTCTGTAATTTTTAGGACGTAAAAATGTCGATGTTTTCATAACCACACTATTTTAATTGTCAATACGTTTCCATGGTTACTAATAACATCTAATAGATATAAGCTAATGAAATTGCTTAATCAATGATGATTCTGTCAAATAATCAATTCGTTCTCATAATTGTTAATTATACGTCTGTATGTTTACTACTAACATCTAATCTAATATCCTCTATTGAAATTATGTATATTTCAGATTTACAATTCTGTAATTTTTAGAACGTAAAAATTTCGATGTTTTCATAACCACACTATTGTAATTGTTAATACGTTTCCATGGTTACTAATAATATCTAATAGATATAAGCTAATGAAATTGATTGAACGTATTGATCTCATAATTGTAAAGTTATAACATCTAATGTGTACTAATTAAATAAGTAAATTATAAAATAAAGATTGTATTGTAATGACTAAACTGTAAACAGCAGTAAATATTGTCCAAGTAAACTAAAACCCATTTAAATCTGAACGTGTGAAAACTAATATCCATTTGATGAACAAGTACAGAAGCGGTAAAGTTTTGGTGCTCAGCAATGTCCATGAACGAACCGTGCATAAACGGTTGTTGAAAAGTTGTGTAAGCGAAATCTGACGCAACGTGTCCTGCGGCGTCTAATTATTTACCTGGATTATTCTCGTTCCCGGAATATTATCGACTGGAAGTTTCGGTTAATATCACGAAACTCTCGAAAACCAATTTCACTTGCATCGATCTTAATAGAAACGTTCGATCGTTCACCACTCGAAGTCTATATTCTATTAGCATAGTTTTGACGTTTGCTGCATGTTCTTAAGATTTCCATTTCGTTTAACATTATTAACCTACGGAAGATTTGACTATCTTAACTATCTTGTTAATGTCCAGTTAAAAATGTATTCATGACTTTAGCTTCAGTAATTTTAATAGTGGAATAATGTTCTAGAAATACTTATTTCTTTATTCGTTTATCTTGAATGCGAATAACATAAAAATAAGTAAATTTTAAAGACTATAGTTTAAACTTTAAATAACACATAGTGGCTTTATTCTGCTGTTGCTAGTTTTTGAAAAATGCGCAAAAATGTGAATACACTTAAGAAAATTATCCATTTCTTCCGACGTAGCGACGCAACGAAGTATTCACGTTTTATGGATAAATTGAAGACGGCGGAAAATAAATAAATAAATCGAACGATTCGAAATCTTAATCTGCATTTGTTACAATCCAATGGCGAATCCGCGTCCACCCTATTTGACGTGTCATTCATGCGAGAACTTGATAAAAAGAACATGTACTTGACGTGCCAAAAAAGGGTCGATGGGAAAAGTTTTGGTTTTGCTAAAATTCAATATCTCTGCTGCTGCTGCTGCTGCAACGTGTAATCAAATTGGTGGTTTCTCTTTGATCTCAACCTTACTTAGTCTGTGCCTAATTTTGAAGAAGAATGCCTTTAGTGAATTGAAAATAATCCGTATTATCATTATTATTGCTATTACGAGTGGTATTAGTATTTAGTATTAATTGGACGTTAAGCCTCTATCCGTTTCCGAGGTCGACGTGATAATTGCATCGAGTGAGTCATCAGACCCAAATGTAATCAGCTTACAGTTAATAATCCCGACGTTGAATAGAAAGATTCGACGCCTTCTCAATCATCATCAACATTTACCAAAATCTACGACACATTTCACACTTTTTCCTTGATCTATGATGGATGTGCAACATTACAAATAAGCAAACCTCTTGGAATATTAATCTTTCTCTCCCTCTGACGTTCGCAACAGCGGCTCTGATCCTGGAAGTAATCATAAACATATATTAGGTTGTCCGTCAAACGTATTGCAAGCCGAATGCGAATCTGAATTATATACAATACCATTTACTCCATATAACGTAAAATTCTTTTTTACCTGAATACATTATTTCAACTTCGAACTTACATTATTCAAATACCAAATGTAATAGAAATATAAATTCATGTGCATGTTATTCCTTATAGTTTTAACTTTATAAAACATAATTATTTAATAATTTTACATATCGTGTACGTCGAGAAATATAATTAAATGTGAAGTAGATGCTCGAGGAATAAAAACATTTTTTTTTAGCAAATCCAACAAAAATCAATTACATACATTTCATTGCCTATAATCTTAGTTTTAAATAACATATAATTTCATTATTCTACCACTAGTTTTCGTGATTTACTTAAAAAATAATTTTTTTTTTCTAAAGTTTGTAAAAGTATTACGTGAATACCAATACATATAGAAATATAATTTCGCATACACTATAAAGCTTATAATTTATACTGTATGTATTCTATCGTAGTCAGTTTTTGAGAAACACATTAAAATGTAATGGCGCTACTATTATTAATGATTACAAAGTTTAATAGCGAATTATACAAACGCCAATGAAATTATGAAATAAGTTTTGCATACA